TCTCGATTTGTGGCCACACCGAGACTAGAACAGACGCAATGCCATCGGTGTGGTGAATGCTTGCACTTCGAATACTGACGTCAATATCGTAGAACACGCGAGCGTACTTAACTAAGCTTCTGAACAACTGCTCGTAAGCAAGCTCGCTCTCGGTACGAAGGAACATAAACAACCAGGGTCGAAATCGGTGTACGAACCCAGTATCCATGGTCTCAACTAAAATGCCCCCACAATCGACAAGTGTCCACCCACCAAAATGAAACTTGTAAGTCCCCTCTGTTGGCATCACGAGGGTGGGTCCTTGATCCTGCATGGCTTGACGAACGTTTTGAAAAAGAGATCGCGTCGTCACAACTACCCCCATGCTGGGGACCTCTCGGTTGTTGAAGGTAACCGTATGCTCAAAGTCATAAAGTACAACCATAGAATTCATGTCGGCAACGTTGTATTCATCCACACCAAGGAACTTTGTGCGGTCCTAGCACATTTTGAGAGCAGACCAGCTCCTCAACGAGATAAACGTGTTGATCTCCCACCCTCCAGTTACTTTTTTTCTTCAGACAAGCTTTACTGTTTTCCATCTTTCGAACGTCAGGAACATGTACTAACATCTCAGGCTCTCGAATGTACTTGAAATGAATCATATTTCTAACGCGCCCAGCTGACATTCCAAGCTTGAGTAGTGCATCCAGCTCTGGATTTAAAGCGGGAGAAATTCCTCGTGCTGGAAGTTGAATAGTTGCGCCAGAGTGATGGCCACGTTGCAAAAGCTGATACTGAAAAGACGTTTATTGGCTCGATGGGTTGATAGCTTCAAGCGATGACCACAACCAATATGTGATTGACATTGATACACTTTACCAAACACAAAAGGGGAGGAATACCTTGTTCTATACGTGTAGACAAAGCGATTAAAGCCGTGAAGAGCACCTTCCGCCTCACCCAATGTGTTGTAAAACCCGACACTTTTAAATGTTGCTTTTGGAGGTGCCGGCTCCCTTCGATTTTGAGCAACCATCCCAATTCCATCGTCCTGCTGTGTGGGTTCCACTTGTAGGCTAGAGCTGCCACCTTCGTCGTTTCCATCAGTGTACTCAAGAACGACCGTAGCATCGCTCTCATTTCCGGATAAATCCGCCTTGGTCTCCATGCTGCGGCAATGAAATTTATACGAACAGGCTTCAGGCGCCAAACGGTGTAACCTACTGCTAGCAAACAAAATTAGGTTGGAATATAGTTATTTGCGGCATGCTGTGCCCCAACTACGTTGTGCATACCTTCGGAAGTTACACACCAGTGTACTTATCCGCTTCGGAGGTGAGAACCCTGCACCTTGACGCACTTGTCGCTCCCGCGCACACCGTTAAACGTGTGAGACGACAAGAAGAGTTCCTGCTGATCCACGCACCAGAGTCTCTGCACTTCGACGCTGAAAATAAAGTGGCAAGCGTTCAGCACTGACATTCTGTTTAACTAAGGGTAGGGGAACGAACAACAGGTTTTAAGTCTTATCAACAGAAATTCGGCAGTAGTTGATAGACAACAGGCGTTCAGCATTTAAGCAGCAGATATTAATATTATTGCGGTATCGGGTCTCTTAAATCAATGTACTGAAAGTAAGGAGTGATTAGCCGGTAGCTGCTGTAGTAGATAATCGGTGTGATGGACAAGCGTGACTGCAGAATCCCTTTCAAATTCGATTCGCAAGATAGAACAGGAAACATTTGTCAACCGAGAATTGGACACCTTTGCTGGATGTGGAGCGAATATGAGGCGGTAATGTACCAAATTTTGAGTCATTTACAGGAAGGCGTGTCACTACTCCCAAAAATTGGGGATAGGGGTTTGTAACGAAAATAACGATCTTGAGGCTTCACCCACAGTGAAGACACACGGATAATTGAGGGGCCACCGGTACTGCCTCGACATGCAAATGTAGCAACCCCTATGCGCGTTCCGTAAGCTTTAGCGGTGGCGTCGGTATTC